AAATTATTTTCGTATCATGGGAGTTGAAGATTTCGACGCGAAAGACCGGGTTAGCTTCCAGAATCAACGACAAAGTGGGCGACACGGTGCAACGCAATGAAAGAAGCCAAAGGATGACAACAAAGTTTCGATGCTTGAGCTGTGTACGTAGAATATAGGGTGGGTGGACACGAATATTCGTATGCATGTAGAGCATGGAAGGATGAAGGAGCTGGAAAAGGTTAGGTTGATTGGGGTGGGTCACTGAGCGGCTCAATTGACAGCGATTGTCAAGCTTCCGAACGAGGATACAGCTTAAAAAAGTCTTTGACGGCGGTCTTCTTCGACACTGACCTGGATGTTCCGCAGTCTTTTTCTGTTGCATCCTGATATTGACATACCGGTCCTCCTGGGATGTACTTTACGATATATCTTCCATTTCTTGAATCTTACCTCCTCTCCATGTGCGGGATCACTCAGTGCCAAGATTCGTAATATGTACCCCTTGAGAGTAATCAGAAGGCTCTGAGCAGTCGGGAATAGACAGCCCGGTGGGTAGAATATGTAACACGGGGCCCACCGCAGCTGCAAGCTCGTCCCGGATACGTTGTTAGAGTACGTCTCTTTTCGGTTTTGACCCGAAGCCCTGCCCAAGGGTCCTTCATGTGGAAAGGATACCCGTGCGGCGAGAAGAAGGAGATATCAACCAGCCTTGGACCAGCCCGTGGTAGACATCAGAAGAAACCAGTGTCGTTTCACAAAACAACGTACCTGCTGCAAAGTATGGGAAATATGACTTGACTTTCTGGCACAGATACCTATGAAGAGTCAAGACAATAATGACGATTCAAGAGGTTTCAAGTTGGAAGCTGCGGCTCCGGAAGTATCCTGCCGCCGGCATGGCGCGGTTATATGGACCGGGATACCGGGACGGCGGCAGCGGGTTGATAGCCCGCTCTCAACAATATCAACCTGATCGTTTGTCAGTATAATCGTGGCGGACTCTTGGAAACCTTCCCTTATGAGAGAAATAGTTGCACAAAGAATTAATCAATCGCCACAGAATTGGAGTATGTGCATGTGGGTACAGAGAGAAAGTGGGAAGCTCGGTGGGAGAACTTCAAGAAGGCAAAGAATAGGGTGTTATAGGCTGATCCATCACTAATGAAAAAGAACTCGCATTCCACAACTTTCCAGCTTGTGAATTAAGATTGGCTTGAAGCACAAAGAAGGTTCAAAGTGAAGGCCCGTCATGACACGTAAATATCATTTACTTTGTCAAGGCATTAACATGCTTCTGTCAGAGCTTTCATATTTGAGAATCCTGATTGAATCCATCAGGATAAGGATCATTCATAGAGATTGGACAATCAGTATCAGCAGTACATACTACAAACGGAAGGACGCTGGCTCGGGAAATAGTTCTTCGGTGGAGGCTATGGTTAGATCAATCGGCACTCATTGTTAATCGAACCGTTCTTCGTTAATGAGTCCTAAAAACTTCTCACTTCTAGCTTCGATTCTGCACTTGAACGGCCGTCGGATGGCTGAAAGAAAATCAAAGGCGAAGACGCAGTGAGGAATCAATCCAAGACTCATGAAGCCGATTTCTTACCTGATAGTCCCTGCGGTGTGTTCCGTGTCCGGTTCAAGTGTAATACCATCTTCAGAACATTTCGAGATGGTGAAGGCCGACAGCGCCATTGCACACGAAATAAATATGGACGCGTCAGCTAGGACTCTACCTGGATCCCGCATCAGTATGCATATTAATCACGAGCTGCGAAATTGTACCTGGGCAAATCCTGCAGAGGCTTATGAGGAATCAATAGAATACATCCGAGCAGAGGACTTACCGTCGTCCGAATCCAAACGCTAATTTATGAGGATCAAATTCCGGCTCCTTGCTTTCCGTTCGGATGAATCTCTCTGGCTTGAATTCGAATGGTTGATCATATACCGCAGGATCGTGAAGCATTTTCCTGTAGGTGATACGCCATGAGGCTACGTTTCAGACAGATTGGCATTTTCATACCAGATGTTCGCATAGACCAAAGAACCCTTAGGAATGAAATAGCCGAATTGAACATCATCTTCAGTAACGCAATGGGGAAGGCCTAAGGGTGAAAGGTCGGTGAGAAATCAGGCAAAGTGAGTAAATTTAATTCCGACCTGCAGGTCCTACGGCGTGCCATCTGGTAACTTCGAGCGCTAGTGCATTGACATACGGGAGGCGTTCCCTATCGTCGAATCGTGGTAGCCTATCATCCCCAATCACTGCGTCGATCTCCGCTTGTGCTTTCGCCTGAATCTCAGGATACAGAAGCATTGCTTTGAAGAAGGCGTAAATAGCTGCAACAGTCTGAACCCGTGGTCAGACTAAACATTAAATGATAAGAACACAAATCCTACAGTATCAGCCCCACCAGCGTATAGAGTTGCTGCGAGCCATTTGATATCGTACTCTTCCTCGGCAGTCACGCCCTTTCCAAGATGGCTGGAGGTCAGGGAATGACGAGCCGTTCCAGCCGCCTATGCATCCTTAAGCGACAATTCGACAGAACACGTTATTTCACCCACCATTTCTTGCTTTACATAGTTATATGGCTTTTCCACGAATTCGTTTAAGGTTGAAGCCCACTCTCGAGCGGTCCGTTTGAATCCAGCCCCCGGGAACCAGTCTGGAATGTGGGTTACTAGAACACGGTACGTCTTAGATGCGGAGAGAGATGTAGGGTGAGAAAATGCCTACAGATTGGAATAAGGTTGGCTAAGAAACCGCCCGAAGCCGTTGAAAGGGAAAATTGGTTCATTGTTCGTTCTGCGAGCTCTATGAAGGGATCGTTGTCTTCTTGAGTCACGTATCCATGTGAGATTTGCAGAATTATGGATCCGGCAGTCCTTATTACGCGTTAATTATCAGTGTCAATAATTACAGATAAACTAAATTCACTCACTTTCGGATATGTTCAGAAAGTCCTTCAGGTCTAATGAAGATTCTCTTCAAAGAGCGACGCATCTCTGACTCTAACATCGGCAGAAATTGATTCATGGTTGCGTTATTGCCGAAAAGCTGATGCGCTAAGCGACGATGGTTACGAAAACGTGCACCATAAGGCATAAGAGCCAGGGAGTTTCTCCACCCGACGAGCTCGCCACCCATACCAACAACTGGTCTATCAGAGTAGATAGAACTTTTCTTGTCAAGTATACTGATAGCCATCTGAGCCGAATTTATGACAACCAGGCGCCGACCAAGGATGGAGACCGAAACTATATCGCCTGATAGAACCTGAGTAAACAGTATTCTTGGTCTGCTGATAATACACATACCGTATTTCTCTCCCCATTTAGCGAAGGTGAGCCATTCCTTCTCAGAGGGCATGTCAAGAAGGTTCCCAATAAGCGGGAGTCCTCTAGGGCCTGGAGGAAAGGGCGCATCACGGTTGTTTCTGCGGAAGAGGTACCACAGAAAGACCAGGTCGGCAAGTGCAATAGCAATGTCAAGAAGAATAAGAGAGCTGAGCATTCTGCAAAGGAGGTCGCTTGATGATATTCGAGATGAAAGTCCATCCTTTTAAGTGCACGACTCATTCCAAGAAATTCCCGTCGGTCGTATTGAGATCCTAAACTAGGCTATCAGAAGACAACACAAAGCGCCAGAGATTTTTCTCCATTGATGGTGGAAAGGCACCTGCGGAGCGGCAGTCGTATGGCTCCGAGTCTTGTTAGGCCATAATATCGTGTGACATGTTGCTTTATATGTCTAATGTTGACCACATGAAGGACAAGAACATGAAGAATGACGCTCATAATTCTAGTAGACGGCGGTGGGATTAGTCCACACTGAGTAACTTCAAATTCTCATTGGTACAAACCGTTGAGTTAGGCTCGTGAAACTGGCGCTAATACGCAGTCCGGATCTCAACTCGTATCAATACTCCACGGAATTCGAAGAGACATTTAGGTCCGTCTCAGTCGGAATTAGGCTATCCGCGGGCACAGCTCGAGAAGAAGAAAAAAACTTGCTTGGACCGTGGAAGATAGATCTAAAAACGATCGCCTATTGAGTTTGGCAGTTTACTCACTTTGTGCACAGCCACGGTGCGTCAGGAACAAAAATAGGAAGTCTGTTAATTTCGTCTTTAGGTCTTCAAATTCCACAACGGCGTGGCCTGGCAGGACATGAGCGTCACTTGGTGAGTGAAGTGTGCCCAATATCATATACGATCGTCTACTATAATGGTCTCAGTTCATCTTCAGGGCTAGTGTTGTAACATATTTTGGGGGGCCGCCGATCTCAACTGAGAACAGCGCGCGGGGCTTAGTGTCCAGCAGTGTGGGTGCCCAGACCTATAAATCCGCTGTACATGGCAAGGAGTTACTGATGCCGGCTCAACGAATAGATAAGATGGCAGATATCCTTTTAGGTACATCTAGTCTCGAGGCATCAGGGAGAATAATGATCCAGAAGTTTGTGAACTTGATGGGCGTTCGGCGTTTCTTTGATGGACTACACGGAGCTTGCTGACAGCCTGAATGCTTACAAGATACAGCGAACTGGAGCAGTGTTTCTCTTTATCGGAGAAAAAGACCCCGTACCCCGTAGAATTTAAATAGTCACAAAGCAACTTTCGGGACAACAGTTTAGTGGTGAGAAGATTTGTGACATGCGTCGAATGAGTATCGAATGCTTTTGATGGAATACACGGGGGGAACTTGCTGACAACCTCAATGGTCAAGATGCAGTGAATTCCAGAAGCTATGTAGCTAACTCCACCTTGATCAAAAAAAGGATAGACGGATGTTGACTTGGCCGACATATTCCCTGTGGAACTGGCAAATTCACTGCAAAGTGAAGGCCCGCCACGACATGTAATCATGTAATGGATATCATCCACTTTGTCTTGACTTTGTCGACGCGTTAGCATGCTTCTGTTGGAGTTTGAGAATTTGAGAATCCCGGTTGAAGCATCACTCAATACACGCAAACAGAAAAAAGGTTGGTTTGGGAAATAGTTCTTCAATTGACGGAGATGTGATTACATCAACGACGTTCATTCCTCAATCAACTCTTTCTTCGTTGATAAGTCCTAAAGCCTTCTCGCTCCTAACTTTGATTGCACACTTGAACGGCGTCGGATGGCTGGATAAAAACGAGAGACACATTGAGAACTACTATACACAACGAAGCTGTTTTCTTACCCGACAGCACCCGCGGTATGCTCTGTGTCCAGTTCGAATACAACACCATTTTCAGAGTATTTCGAAATGGTGAAGACCGATAACACCATAGCACATGAAATAAATATGGAGGCGTCAGCTAAGACTCTACCTGGAACCTGCGTCAATATGAATCTAAAACACAAGAATGAGAAATTATACCTGGGCAAATGCTGTGAAATGCTATGATAAATCAAATTGGTGGTTCCAACAGAGAACTCACCGCCGTCCAAATCCAAACGCCACTTTATGAAGATCAAATTCTGGCTCCTTGCTTTCTGTTCGAATAAATCTCTCCGGCTTGAATTCGAATGGTTGATCATATACCGCAGGATCGTGAAGCATTTTCCTGTCAGTTATATGCCTTATGAGACTAGGTTTCACACAAGATTGATATCCTCATACCAGATGTTCGCATAGACCATGGAACCCTTGGGTATAAAATAACCGAATTGAACATCATCCTCAGTAACGCAATGAGGAAGGCCTAAGTGTGCAATGATGGTGAGAATCCAGGAAAATGTGGATGTATTCAATACTGACCTGCAGGTGCAACGGTATGCCATCGGGAGACCTCGAGCGCTAGTGCATTGACATACGGGAGGCGCTCCCTGTCATCGAATCGTGGTAGCCTGTCATCCCCAATCACCGCGTCGATCTCTGCTTGTGCTTTGGCCTGAATCTCAGGATACAGAAGCATTGCTTTGAAGAAGACGTAAATAGCTGCAACAGTCTAAACCTATGGTCAGACCAAACGTTGAATGATGAGAACACAAATCCTACAGTATCAGCCCCACCTATAGAGAATGGGTAAGCACTCTTAGAAGGTTTTACTTAATGAACAATTTACTGACCGGCATATAGAGATGCTGCAAGCCATTTGATATCGTACTCTTCTTCGGCAGTCACGTCCTTTTCAAGATGGCTGGAGGTCAGGGAATGACGAGCCGTTCCAGCCGCCTATGCATCCTTAAGCGACAATTCGACAGAGCACGTTAATCCACCCACCATTTCTTCCTTCACATAGTTATGTGGTTTTTCCACCAATTCGTTTAGGGTTGAAGCCCACTCTCGAGCGGTCCGTTTGAATCCCGCCCCCGGAAACCAATCTGGGATGTGGGTTACTAGAACATGGTGCGTCTTAAATGCGGAGAGAGAGATGTAGGGTGAGAAAATGCCTACAGATTGGAATAATATTGGCTAAGAAACTGCCCGAGGCCACTGCAAGAGAAAACTGGTTCACTGTTCGTTCCGCCAGCTCCACGAATGGGTCATTCTCTTCTTGAGTCACGTACCCATGTGAGATTTGCAGAATTATGGCACCGGAAGTCCTTATTGCGCGTTATTTATCAGTGCTGCTACTTCCAGATTAGCTGGATTGGCTTACTTTCGGATATGTTTGGAGAGTCCTTCAGGTCCCGTAAAGGTCCTCTTTAAAGAACGTCGCGTCTCGAACTCTAACATCGGCAGAAATTGATTCATGGTCGCGTTGTTGCCGAAGAGCTGATGTGCTAATCTACGGTAGTTGCGGAAACGGGCCCCATAAGGCATAAGAGCGAGGGTGTTTTTGTACCCGACGAGCTCGCCCATCCCGACGACTGGTCTATCGGAGTAGATAAAACTTTTCTTGTCAAGTATACTGATAGCCATCTGAGCCGAATTTATGACAACCAGGCGCCGACCAAGGATGGAGACCGAAACTATATCGCCTGATAGAACCTGAGTAAACAGTATTCTTGGTCTGCTGATAATACACATACCATACTTCTCTCCCCATTTAGCGAAGGTGAGCCATTCCTTCTCATAGGAAGACGGACATATGGTATATTAATGGATCTTTTCGAGCACCACGGAAGATGATGACGAGATATATCGAAGAGAAGAAATGAAAATCGCTAGCGCTCCGCCTGGACCACTCAGTTCGTGACAAGACGTGATGTGAGTGTTGTTGTTTGATGGAGTACACGAGCGGAGCTTGTTGCTAGTATGTATGCTTACAAGAAGTGACAAGATGTTGTGAATTTCAGAAGCAATAGCCGCAAGATGTGAAGATAATTTCACCTCTGCAACAAAAAGGCGCAGAAACTGACTTTGCTGAGCATATTCTCTGAGGAGTTGGCGGAGTGACTACTTTATTTCTCATGCAATTATTTCCTCGTCAATAAGCTCCAATGCCTTCCTGCTCCTAGCTTTGATAGTACACTTGAACGGAGAGGGATGGCTGCGGGAGAATGATGAGAAACATTCAGAGTTGATGATATTCGAGACCTTCATACCTGATAGTCCCTGCTGTATGATCGGTGTCGGGCTCGAACACAATGCCGTTTTCAGAATACTTTGAAATGTCGAAAACCGCCAGCACCATAGCGCAGGAAATGAAAATAGAGGCGTCTGCTAGTACCTTTCCTATATTAAGGGTCAGCACGGGTTATGGAGGCCGGCCTAACCGGTCGTACCAGGGCAAATCCTGCATAAATAATCAGGCTAATAGTTCTCGATTGTACCAATAAAAGACCCACCGACGACCAAATCCAAACGCTATTTTGTAGGGATCGAGTTCGGATTCTTTGTTGTCCGTTCGAATAAATCGGTCTGGATTGAACTTGAATGGTTCATTGTATACCGTAGGGTCGTGAAGCATTTTCCTATGGACCACAAGGAAGAATTAGACAAGGTCTCCAACGAAGTCCACATCCTCATACCAGATGTTCGCCAAGATCACGGTACCCTTGGGAATAAAATAACCGAATTGAACATCATCCTCCGATGCACAATGAGCAATTCCTAGAAAGAGCAAGGCAGTGAATATCCGGGGAAATCAACTATGCATCCAGTACTGACCTGTTGGTCCTACGCTGTGCCATCGGGTGACTTCAAGAACTAGAGCATTGACATACGGGAGGCGTTCTCTGTCGTCGAAGCGAGGTAATCGATGATCACCGAATCACGGCGTCGATCTCTGCTTGTGCTTTGGCCTGAACTTCAGGGTACAGAACCATGGCTTTGAAGAAAGCATAAATGGATGAAACGGTCTAATCCACGATCAGACCAAATATTGATAGAGAAAGACAAATCCTACAGTATCGGCCCCACCTATAGAGACTGGGTGAGGATTTTCAGGTGGTTATAATTGATAGGTGTACTGACCGGCGTATAGAGATCCTGCAAGCCATTTGATATCAGATTCGTCCTCTGCACTCACTCCACCTTCGAGCTGACTCGAAGTAAAAGAAGGACGAGCGTTTCCAGCAGCCTATACGTCTTTCAGACGCTGCTCGGTATAAAGCACTATTCCGCTGACCATTTGCTGTTTTACATAAGTATGCGGCCTTTCCACAAAATCACTTAGCGTTGACGCCCACTCTCGAGCGGTCCGCTTGAATCCAGCTCCGGGAAGCCATTCTGGGACGTGGCGTACTAGGTATGGCGCATCTCAGTTGTGAAGAGAACCTGAGAATGAGTCAAGACTTACAGGTTGGAATAAGATTGACTAGAAAGCTACCAGGAGTCATCGAGAGAGAAAATTGATCCATATTCTTTTCAGCTAGCTTAACAAACGGATCATTCTCTTCTTGTATAGTGTATCCATGCGAGATCTGCAGAATGATGGCTCCTGCAGTCCTTACACGTCGAACATCAGCATCATGACCAATGGAGACACAAGAAAATAACATACTTCCGGATATATGCAGGGAGCTCATCAGGCTTATCAGAGATTCTCTTCAGAAAACGATGTGTCTCAAGCTCCACCATTGGCAGAAACTGTTTTATAGCGGCATTATTTCCTAATAGCTGATGCGCTAGGCGACGCTGGTTCCGAAGACGCGCACCATAAGGCATAAGACCTAGCGAATGCTTCCACCCGACGAGCTCACCAGCCCATCGCGACAAGTGGCCTATCCGAGTAAATAGAGCTTTTCTTATCTAGCATGGAAACCGCCATCTGAGGCTGAATTTATCCATGACTATACGCGCACCAAGAATTGAAACTGATGCGATGTCGCCTTAGTAAAACGCTGTGAGCAGAGTTACCAACATTTTACTAGACAACGTACCATATTTTTCCCCCCATTTAGCGAAGGTAAGCCATTCTTTCTGGAGACGGCATGTCGAGAAGGATTCCCGATAAGAGGGAGTCCTCTGGGTCCAGGAGGAAATGGCGCAGTACGACGAGTACGCCGAAAGAAGCGCCAAGCAAAAATCAAACCGATAAGGACAATGGAAATATCAAGAGTGCGGATAGAGCTAAACATTCTAGTGGGTTGTATGCCTGCTTGTGACCGAGAGGGAGGACCGAACATTTTATACGCGCTTGAAAACCTTAAAAGAGAATTTGCCACCCTTTTCAATCAGCAGGAACGGTGTATCAACCTACCATGGCAAGAACAAGTTTACGTTTGAGAAAGCGTCCGGATCCTAACTTGACGCTAAAACAGAACCATGTGGGTAAGGTCCACGTAGATCCGAGTCCTCTGAAACCCTTTCATATTGTGCGAGGTCCCATCTCATCCGTTTTCCTCATTACGACAGTGGACGGCCAAATCGGAGCGAGGAGGTAAGGAAAACGCGGAGCCACGCTCCCTATCCATACAAAACATGATCTGAGTTAGAGAATAAAGGGAGCGCCTATTTATATGGAGCGATAATGACCGAGAATGAGGGATAAGAAAAATTTGGCGCGAGTACCGTTCAAATTTGGACGCCGCTTGCACAGCCACATATCTCGCAGCTAAAAGTTTACTAAATTTGAAGTTCGTACTTCCGGCCCCGCAATGAGTGCGATCTACCCCCAAATTAATTAGCCTTATTTATGAGCAACACCTTCAAGTTAGTATTGTCCCCGGGCTGCCGATTCGCGCGGCTGTGTCCCCTGAGTAGCAGTCCGACTGCTGTTACAAGAATTCTGCGCAACCATCATGACAGAAGGGATTTTCGAGGATGGAGTACTTAAGCTGAATATCTATCTCTATCCTGATGAGAAATGACCTCAGCCTAAGATAAGCAAAGGGGAAGACACAAGTACGATGCTTAACAACCAGGAATGATCAATGGCTACCAAAGCTGGATATTGTTTTATTCCCACTGTGACTAACCCACAACTACACAAGATCTGATTTGACTACGTTTGCATGCATCAATGATTGAAATTGAGGGCGAAAGGAAAGCAATCTATAGGGTTGGAACCTGCGACTAAACTATAAAAAGACAGCAAATGCAAGTAAGGACTGACAAAATGCGGAAAAGACTCCAGCGACCAACAAACAAAATTGGTATAGTTAGGTGCAATGATTAATTCTTGAATCCGCAGGTAATAGAGTTGTATAAGGGAAGGAGTGTGCTGGTGACCAGAGCGTCAATGAATAGTCCTCTGAAAGACGAGTGCATAGGATAATGGATGGTCGAGAAAGATGCATACAAATTCGGTTCAGCTTTTGCAGAATAATAGCCCTATGGAAAACGTCGACAGGATAGATTAGAAAAAGAAACGATGAGAACCGCCGGCGGTCTATTGGGGTTGCGGTTGACGAGGAGACGAGAACAGCGAGAACACCTTCTCCGCGTTCTCCTTGTACTTCTTTAGCTTTTTGTTCTTCTTCTCTGGCCCGTCAGACTTTGTAGCCTCTGACGCACTGAGTGGATCCGGATTACCCGAATCAGCGCCGTTTACCGACTGGTCTGAGAGGCTCTGATTACCGACCGACGCCGCCGACTCCTTCGACTTCAACGAATGCGAGCCAACCATAGAGCTCGACATTGACGGCGACGGCGTCAATAACCCCGCACTCGACGAAGCAGACAACGTAGCAGAAGCTGATTGGCTCATCGACTTGCCAGACTTGCCGGAATACGACGACGGTGGAGACTTGGGTCGCAAGAACTGCCGAGGGTGTTTGCGGAACGTCAATCCTTGGTTCCTTCCTCTCCGCTGCGTTGGACTCGGAGATTCAACAGTAGTGTCTGTCGAGGCTTTCGAAACACCAGAGAAGGACCTTCCCACGGACCGGTGCGATGGCGTCGATGCCTTGCGGAACACCGCCAATCTGTATCGATCCACAACTCCCCGGGCAAAGTAACTCGTGCCCTTGGTTCCATTCCGGTCCTCGCCATCCCCCGCTTCGACAAAGTCCCAATCATCATCCTCATCATCATCGAACCTGTCTGTGGCTGTATCTTCATCGCCACCATCGGAAAGGTATCGGTCTAGAGCGGGGACACCTGATTTTTCTCTGCGGGGAGCACGCGAGACACGGTTGTTGGCCTTTGGTGCCGGCTTTGAAGGCGGTTGGAGCTTGACTCGGACGTCCTTTTCGGCGTCTAAATCTTTGCTCTTCCGGGGTTTGGCCTCTGGCGGCTGAGGCGTAGGCTCGGGAGTAGGTTCCACATGTTCTTCTGCGCGCGGTGGAGAGGGTGCCACAGGCGATTGTGGTAGAGGAGGGAGCATCGATATGTCATCGGCTGGTAACAGCACCGGACGAGCTTCAGGCGTTTTCGGTTCTCCTAGATCTACCTCCGCCTCATCGGTAACCATGTCTGCCGCAGGCTTGGGCGTTTCAGGCTCGAGAACAGGTTCAATAACGGAAGTAACCTCCTCCGGCTCCAACTCCTCCTCGTCCGTCTCACTCTCACTGCTAGACACTTCTACTTCGTCACCCTCATCATCAATGACAACAGAGTGCCGGCCTTTGAAGGAGTATCCATCAAAGACATCGACAGAATCATCTTCAGGCTGTGACTGCGGAGCTATTGACGAACTGCGTGACTGTGATGGGGTAGTGTTGGTCTCCTCTCCATCCGTTCGATCTGTGTCCGTCTGCTCGTGTTCTTGATCATCATCCGTCTGCTCGTTCTCGTTGAATTCATCAAGAACAGGCTCCATGTCAAGGAAAGTATCGTCAAAGTTCTGCGTATCACTAGCATTTAAGGGGTCGATGGGTGGAATGTAAGGGGCTGTGAACAAGGAAGTTAGCTGATAGCTCAACACCCAGAAAAACGAACGAACGTATATAGCGCTTGTAATACACGTGAGACCAGTCTCTGTCATGATGTATTAACTGCCTGGTCCATTAATAAAAACAATCAAGCCTACATCATCGAGAAGTAAGGATGCCGCTTTATCCGAGGCTCGCAAATACGAAGCCCAGGATTGCGTTGCAGAAGCTGTATGTTCCCATGAGTATGAAAAGAAGCCTCAAACGCATATAACTGACACCGCGAATCAAACTCTTCGTGTCTTGATCAATCGCCCTGTCATCAGGGAAATGAAGGTCGTCTTGCAGCACTCGCACATACATGTCGGCATGGTTGTTCGCCCAGAAGGGTGTCTAAGCGTCCACGACTCAGGAACCGTTCGCACGGGAAGAACAGACCAAGAGTACTCACAATACCAGTCAACATTTCATACAACATCGTTCCGAAGCTCCACCAGTCAATCTCATAGCTGTAAGACAAACCCTGAATGACTTCTGGAGCAAGGTACTCCGCCGTCCCACAGAATGTGGCAGTACTATCGTTCTGTCCTACCGACGGACCAGGCCATCCAGCAGCAAGCTCGCCGCCCTTCTCCATCTTCATCCATGGAGGGGTTGGCGGCTGAGACGGCCCTGAAGAAGCGGAGTAAAATTCGCCACGAGAGCCGGAAGGCGTAGGAGGCGCGGTTGCGGCAGTGGAGTGTCTCGGGAACTCTTTCGACAGGCCAAAGTCGGTGAGGACGATATGCCCATCAGAGCCAATGAGGATGTTCTCAGGCTTGAGATCACGGTAGATGACTCCCGCTGCATGCAGACCTTCAACACCCTCTACAATTTCGGCAGCGTAGAACCGAGCACGATCCCGACCTAATCGACCCCATCGCGCTAATTGGGTAGCCAGATCACCACCAGGGTGGAAGTCCTTAGGAGGAAATTAAGAAGCGATCGAAAACAACAACAGTTAATACTCACCATGACCAAGAAAAGGTTCTCTTTATCATGGAAACTCCACCACAATTTGACCACAAAGGGATCCTTCGCTTCTGCAGCCATTTTCTTCAAGACGGCCTGTTCTGTGAGCGTATGCTGCAGCTCCTGATGGGCTAGCACATGCCGCTTCGTGATCGCCTTCAAGGCATATAAGTCCTGCGTCGACTTGTGCCTCACAAGGAGGACCTTCCCAGCACATCCTTTCCCAAGAACCCGCATCATCTCAAAGTCGTCAATAATAACCTTCCTTTGCGACTTTTTCTTCTGCGCGGGGTCAATGGACATAGATCGCTTCTTTCGCGTACGTCTACGGCCAATATGCTCTTCCTTCGTCGATACGGAAGACTCGTCGTCGCCTGTTTCTGTCTGGGAAGAAGTGCCGTCTTGGTTCGATGTCGACGACGTATACGTTCGAACAAGACGTCTCGACTTGTCGGGGTCTGCGGAACGTGAACGGGGTATGCGATTCATGGATCCGTCTAATACAGGCGTTTTCGGAGCATCGTCCTCAGAGGGACGGGTAGTCTCCATTTCTACAGTCACCTGTTGCTGCTCGTTCGGAGTAACGGGTGGCTCGGCGGCTGGTACTGTCAACGTCGTAGCCTCGTTTTCGACGGGCACAGAAACAGCGTCGCATGTACATTCCTCCTTCTGCTCCGGATCTTTCCCCTCAGACGTCACACCACCTTCATCGCCTACAGTCTCGTGGTTAGGGTCCTGGTTCGGAAGCTTCTCATCGTGTGCGCTTCCATTTTCTATTGGGCCCTCCGAATCACGAATACTTGGCATGGTGTTTTCTTTGTCCTTCGTCAACCCCACATGAGCAGCAAGATCAGACCTAACATGCTTGATAGCTCGCTCAACACGGACACTCTCCAAGTCGTCCGTGCGAACGCGGACAAAACGCTTCCACACGCGTGCCTGGCGCAGCGAAGGGGTGTTTGAGATGGTCGTCAGGTAAGCTGCGACGGCTGTACTGTTGACCGTGGTGGGAAGGGTGGCGTTGATGGCGCTTGGCGTGAACGACAAAAACGGGTCATTCTTCTCGTTTGACGGAGAGGCGACGGGAGAGGCAATTATTGAACTGGCATTATTGGCACGCCGGGTTGAGTTATTCCGACCACCTTTGCCGGCGGTGGGGGAAGTAAGGCGGGAAAGGGTATTAAGGAATGTTGATTTACGTTTGGGCGCTGCTGCAGCAACAGCAGCAGCAGCGTCAATAGGAAGTGTAGGGAGTTTGGCTCCGGGTAACGATTCACGGAGCTTGCTGTCGAGCTCAACTATCTCCATGGCCGTTCGGGTGAGAGTGATGTTGTGAGTGGGAGCTGCGAGAGAGAGAGAGAGAACGACCGTCAGTAAGCATGCAGGCGGCTCGTCTTTAAAGGAGAAAATCATGCGAATGAAGGGAGGCTGTGGAGAAAACGCTGCAGCAGCCGACAATGAAAGGGAACTCACTCTTTATGTAAAGACTGTATGAACGGGCATCGTGCGGCGATTCCGCAACACTAACGCTCCAAGGGCCGTCCTGGGCGTCAATTCGAACTGGAGCCCGTCGATTTGGAGGAAGATCAGTCGCGGCCAGCATCGTGTTGGTCGAGACGGGATCGGTGCTCACTTTAGGGGTGGTCGCTGCCGCTGGGCTGGTCGGCGAGTCGAGCGAGTCGTTGGATGTAGTAGAAGGTCGTCCTGCAATATGTGCTCTGCCGGCTCCGCTGCTCCTGATGCTGTCGACGCTCC